CGACCCGCCGTCCGGCAGATCTGCCCACCGGCCCCATGTTCCCCTTCCCCGCCTTCACTGGCAGAGGGCCATTTGGGCATAAGACTTGGTGTGAGATGTCCCCTTGCTCTCGTTTGAGTTTCAATTTGTTGTAGAGAGTTAAAACGCTGGAATCGGCTGGGCCCAGAGGGCTCAGGCCTGTAATCTTAGCACTTTGGGAGGCCGAGGCAGGAGGATGGCTTGAGGCCAGGAGTTCGAGACCAGCGGGGGCAACACAGTGAGAGCCTGCCTCTACAATATATATATGAATATATATAAAATATATAAATATTTTATTTATATAAATAATTTTTTAAATTTTTTATTGTATTCATGTATTTAATTTTTTGGAGACAGAGTCTCGCTCTGTTGCCCAGGCTGGAGTGCAGTGTCGTGATCTTGGCTCACTGCAACCTCTGCCTCCCGGGTTCAAGCGATTCTCATGCCTCAGCCCCCCAAGTAGCTAGGATTACAGGTGCCCGCCACCACGCCCGGCTAATTTTTTTGCATTTTTAGTAGGGATGGAGTTCACCATGTTGGCCAGGCTGGTCTTGAACTCCTGACCTCAAGTGATCTGCCAGCCTTGGCCTCCCAAAGTGCTAGGATTACAGGCATAAGCCACCACACCTGGCCCATAAATAAAATATATTTTTAAATGCTGTTAGTGGTCTGTTATCCTGGACTGCTATATTCCCTGCTAAGTAAATTGATTACTCCTATTTAACTATAAAAATGTAATTAAAATTTCAGAGTGCACTGCAACCAAGATTTACTTACCTCTTCCTCTTTAAACAAAAGAGTAAATGAAAGACAAGATTCCCTCTTCCTTTTCATGCATTCCACATTTTCTGAGTGCTAGTTATGAGTCAGGCACCATACTCAGCACAGGGATGAAAGGTGAATAAGACAAAATACTAATACAACTCAGATGAGTAAAACAATAGAGGTTACTTGTCAGGAAATTTACTTCAGTTTTATAATTTCAAATAGTTAAAATAGATCATGAAGATCAAAATTCATTTACAGTGCCTGGCAGTTCTGTAAATTTATTTCTCTTTCCCTTTTGCACTTAAATTACAGATCTGCAGTCTGCTACCAAGCACTGTTAGTGGCAAAAATTCTAATGCTTGGCAGGACATGGTGGCTTATGCCTGTAATTCCAGCACTTTGGGAGGCCAAGGCAGGCAGATTGCTTGAGCCCAGGAGTTCAGACCAGCCTGTGCAATATAGTGAGAGGCTTGCTCTATAAAATAAATTTTAAAATTTAAAAAAAAGATCACTTTAGTCTTCATAGAGATAAAAGAAGGTATCATCCAAGAAACAAGGAGATAAGGCGAGGCCTGGTAAGGTCACTTAGCCAAGTAACAAGGGGTGGCGCGGGTGTTTGGACCCAAAGCCTTACACCAAAGCCCATATTGTTTACTAAGCTCTTAATTACTAACCAATCCATCAGTAAGTCCCATTGGCTCAATCTCAAAATGTAACCCACAGCCAGATACTTCTCACCACCTCCACAACTACAGCCCTGGCCCAACCACCATTACCACTAACTTTTAACTATTACAGATGGTCTGTTGTTTCTTTGTTGCCACCTGTCCTATATAGTCTATTCTCACACAACAGCCTAGTGATTCTTCACATCAGACCAGGTCACTCTCCTGCTTACTGTCCCAATGGCTTCACATCACAACACCCTAAGTGAGCTGGCCTCTGCCCATCTCTGGAACTTCATCTCCTTCCATTATCCCTCCTGTCATGAAGTTGGAGTCACATGGGCCTCATTCTGAAGTGGGAACAAGATTAAGCTCACTTTCCACCCCAGGGCTTTTACATGGAGTGTTTTCCCTGTTTCAATAATGTTCTTTCTCATTCTTCAGTCCACTTTGTTCAAATAACCACTCCACCTAAACTTATTACACAGAACTTATTCTAAGGAAGGGTAAGGACATGTGTGTATTATGTATGATGAGGCAACTTGTCGCCCAAGCTGGAGTGCAGTGGTGCAATCTTGACTCACTGCAACCTCCACTTCCTGGGTTCAAGCGATTTTCATGCCTCAGCCTCCCAATTAGCTGGAATTACAGGCATGTACCACCACACCCAGGTAATTTCTGTATTTTTAGTAGAGACAGGGTTTCACCATGTTGGCCAGACTTGTCTTGAACTCCTGAGCTCAAGCGATCTTCCCGCCTTGGCCTCCCAAAGTGCTAGGATTACAAGTGTGAACCACCACTCCTGGCTTCATTTCTGATTTCGTTTTTGAATTTTTCATAACTCCAGTCTCTTAAGATAGCTATCTTAAAGCACTCCCTAAGATTATTTATAATCATAATTCTTTCAGTTTGATAATAAAGCTGAAGTTAAAAGAAATAAAGTGAATTGGCCAGTCATTGAGGGACAGGGCTGAATTTGAACAAATTTCCATTCAGTACTTTTCCCATGGACAAGGATGTGCTTTTCAGTGTGTCCAGTCAGTAAGCAGTTTATAGGGTACCAAGTGATGTGCTAACATCAAGCTCAAGCTTACTAATTTTCATATTGACAGCGCACTATTCAAAAGAATATTTTTAAAGCAATTTTATATCAGTTTTTTCCTTGAAACTGTCTAGGTAGGTAAGAGGTAAAATTTCTTCTAGTTAATAGATGAAGGGAGCACAAAAAGGTAAGTGGCTGACCGAAAGCAGTCTGAAATACTTTTTGCATTAAGTTCTTCTGTCCAGTTAACCAGATTGACAATATTTAATTAAACTACTGATATGCAAAGGACTTAGTCTAAAATTAGAAGAGTTAAGAGAAGTATATTATCCCATAAGTTGGGGTTTATCTGCTTAGGGAACTGTCATAAAGAAATAACATGTATTGGGACTCCCATATCTAAAAAGTTCAAGAAGTAATATATTAGAATTATAAAATTATGAAACCTCAATTTCATTACCAGCCTGGGCAATGTAGTGAGACCTCATCTCTACTAAAAATAAAAAGAATCAGCCAGCATGGTGGTACGTGCTTGCTGGTTATTCAGGAAGCTGAGGTGAGAGGATTATGTAAGCCTGGAAGATGGAGGCTGTAGTAAGCTATGATCATGCCACTGCACTCCAGTCTGGACAACAGAGGGAGACACTGTCTTAAAA